CAGTTTGAAGCAATTAGGTTTGTTGATCGAGGACTCATATCCCATTAAGACTAAAGGAACTTGGTGAAATGAAAGCCAGCATTTGTCTCCAGAACAACACAGCTTTGAATGCATGTTCTTCGAAAGCCTTTTGACTCTTCTTGTTCATGCAATCGCTGGATTAATACGACTGTTTGCTTATTCCCTAGGACCGAAGCGGTATGAAAATTATCATATATTTTCGATAGGCAATATCTTTTTTTTCCTGCAATCCAGTCTCCATGTGTACGTCGAAAAGAGCGATCAAAGACAAAAGTATTAAACCCGAAAGTGGCCTAAAATGCCCGCCCTTTAACGGTTGGCTAGAAAGACAAAAATGATTAGAAATTAGTTCGACCTGTGCATAGTTTAAAGATTAAATGGCTGTGAACAGACACGCAAACAATAACACTAATAAATGGGATAGGGAGATGCAGTTTACATTAATCTATAATATAATCAGCGATTTGTGTGGAAAATGCTCTCTAATTTCTGACCAAAAGGTGAAAAATAAGCAGCAGAAATTATTCGCAAACGGCATTAGTCGATTAGTCGGAGAAGTTATACAATGAATAGAAGCCAGCATTATTCAAGCCAGTTGTTAGATCAAGAGTGAAAATGCACGCCAGAGTATCCAGTAACTTTTGTACAATGCGAATATTCCTCTAACACTGCGTGATACTTACTATTAATATCAAAGTATAACTGTAACATGAGCGCTGTATTATACGTGCATAATTGATTTTAGAAAGTGCTCTAGATGAGGAAAAAATCCCTTCAGTTCAATTTATGGAAATCGTCAAGGCCGATACAACAGCGCTATGGCTGTTATCGACAGTCACCTCACAGTAAAAAGGTTAGACTTTTTGTTGGTCTACAGTTATTTATAAAATAAACCATTTGTTCTTTATTAAATTTAGATTTGAAAGTGCTGATGCAGGCATTTTCCACTTGTAAAATTCTGAAATTGATATAGATATTGTGGGAAGCAATATATCCGGTGTGATTGTCATTTAAACGGATGGAAAGACAAAACTGTTCGGCGTTTGTGGGACAGTAAAACGGTTTTATGACTAAGAGAAAGGAACAGGAAATAAACGAAGCAGAGTTAAGTTAAGAAAGTTTTAACACAAAGCTACATGATTAGCAGTTATGTTCCCACCGACGGCCATAGCGTTACAACGGAAAGATTGCATACTGTTGGATGGTGCCCTCAATTATGAAGGTCCGTTGTAACATTTCCAGGTAATGAATGACATGACTCAGTTATAAGCTTTTCAGCGTTTCTTCTTCGGGAGAGGAATGCTATTTGTGGTTAATGGAATTTACAAAATAACTGTGACTGATCTCAGCGGCTAATCGCCTTGTAAATAAAAATATTGCTCAGCCATCACAGTTTACAGTGATAAGTCGCAATCGTCCGTCATCGATGGAAATGCCATATTATGTCAGTGCCACATATGAAACATGCTGGCGGTTGGCTCAATCGTTCTAAGCATGTACATGAAAGGATCGGTTCAGGTTTGAAGAAGGAGTGATCTTGGCCCTGTCCGGATCAGATATGTGTTATCGAAAAATAAGGTTGTTCATTCCCGCCGCGGTGCGCCTTGTCCTGAAATTATGAAAAATTTCCAAGCAGCTGAGGAAATAGACCCGCTTGGCAGCAGGTCTCTCAGATAAAACAATATGTAAAAAATTAAGCAAAATTATTATCAAGAACTGTGACTTAGTAATGGTGGCAATGGTGTTAAACCCTATGAAATTCTTCTGCTCTGTTTTGCTGTGATGGCCTCCAGAATTTTCTTTCTTCCATATGTAAGCTCCTGTAGGATTATTCTATTTGAATTGCATTAGATGAAGTGGTTTATCATGTTCTCGAATGTGTAGTAACTTCCTTTGATAGTCATACTTTTCACTGTTAAAATATTACAGTGACTCATAGACATTCTATTTATTAAATTAATCAGCAATCAACAGTAGAGCCTTGCCGAGGTAATAAGAGTTTTTTTTAATGCAGTCTCCGTTCCTGTGGTTTTTTGGACATCGGTTTGCAATTAACTGTTCACCAGCGAATGCAAAGCACCGATATACTTGATCGAAATCATTCGAGTATGTGTGGGCGTCCATGTTTCACAGTTTTTTTCTTCATAACGTCCGGATTGACAAAGACATCTTTAATGCACCGACAAAGCAAGACTATTCCTGTCCGTCGTGTCATAGCAATGCACTGT